TGACAGTGTTTTGGCAAATCTGGGCCTTTTTCCTAGAGACTTTGTATCCTGCCTCACATAAAAAAGAAAGGAGAAAGTGTGTCCCTTCCATACAGTCCTCCCAAGTTGGTCCAGCCAGCAGGAGGTCATCTACGTACTGGAGGAGTGTGCAGCCATGCTGGTGAGCTGAGAAGGCTTTGAGGTCAGATGCCAAGGCAGTTCCAAAAACAGTAGGTGAATTTTTGAAACCTTGTGACAACCAAGTCCAGGTCAGTTGCCCCTTTTCCCCAGTATTGGGATTTTCCCATTGGAAGGCAAAAATAGGCTGGCTCTGTGGGACCAGGAGGATGCAGAAGAATGCATCTTTAAGATCTAGGCAGGTAAAAATCTTTGCCTTAGCTGGGACAAGGCCTAAAAGTGTGTATGGATTTGGGACTACAGGGTGCAATGTGACAGTTACTGAATTTACTGCCTGCAGGTCCTGGAGTGGCCTAAAATCCTCAGTCCCTGATTTCTGGACTGGTAGTAAGGGGGTGTTCCAGGATGACTGACAAGATCAGAGAATCCTATATTTTAAAAGTCTGTCACAGCATCTTTGAATTCTGACCTGGGCCTTGCGAGGTATGAAGTACTATTTTTGGCTGACTAGGGTGGCTCCTGGCTTTAGTTCCACCACTACTGGGGGCACATTTTGGGCCAGACGTGGGGGGTTATATTTAGCCCATACACCTGGAATTTTGAAGGGAGACTCAGGAATCTCAAGAGGCCTCCCTTCAGGGGCATAGAGCCGCCATTTCTCTTCTTGTGTAGCTGTGAGGATTAGAGTCTTTGTCTCAGGTCCTCTCGACTTTAAGGCTGCTGTACCATCTGAATCAAAAGTTATCTGTGCTCTCTCTTTGCTTAGCAAGTCCCTGCCCAGTAGGCCCACAGGACAATTAGGGAGATTAAAGAATTCATGCCTTACTTCATGACTCCCAAGTTTGCATTGTCTAGCCATTAAGAAGGGGCAGCAGACCAGTCCCCTATAGCCCCAATAATAGTAGTATGCTTGTTGGAAAGAGAACCCACTATTGGGTCACAGCCGAATGTTCACCGCCTGTGTCCACCATGAGGTCAGTGGGAAGGCCCCCCATTTTCATTTGGACCATAGGCTCCTGGAGGCCCAATAGAATGGAACCTAGTCCTCCTCATAGCCTTCCAGGCCTGCTAGACCAATGTTTTCCTCCCAGGGGCTGGCTGGCTTCCCTGTGGGTGGACTGATATTTTCCTTTGGTGACCTGGCCTCTGCCTCTAGTCTGTGGGGCCTTTTGGGAGTCCCTGGCCCATTGGGGACATTTATTCTTTTAATGCCCTTCCTGATGACAGTAGGCACAGTGGTTTCGCCCTAGCTCCTCCCTAGGGTGGGGATGTCCTGGGGATGTTTTTTGTGGCCTTCAGGGATTGCCTATACCTCTGCCTGGATTAGCTTGCTGGGGCCCACCTGACTGTCTGGCAAGAGCTGCTGCAAGGAGGTTCACTTTCCTTTTTACTTTCCTATCGGCTTCCCACTTAGTCTTCTGATCTTGATTGACAAAAACTTTTGTGGCCACCTCCAGAAGCTGGCTAAAGTTCCTTCCAGCAAATCCCTCCATTTTCTGTAATTGTTGCCCTAGTCCTGGCCAACAAAAGTGGCATTGATCATCCACTGGCTTTCAGTGGCTTCTGGGTCAAAGGGGGTGTACATATAGAAGGCCTCACACAAACACGTATAAAACTGGCTGGGACTCTCATCTGGCCCTTGGAGGACTTCTGATGTTTTGCTCATGTTCATAGACTTTTCCCTTCCTTCCTTCATGCCTCCCAGTAATGTCTCCTGATATTGTTTAAGTTCCTGGTAATCTTGGCTATTGTTGGGGTCCCAATGGAGGTCTTCCTCGGGGAAGTAGACCTGAGCATATACTTGGGCATTTAGAGTGCCTTTAGGGGCATGATCTTCTAGCCACTTAAAGCTGCCAATGTTATACAGCTTCTCTCTTCAGTATTAAATAGAGCCAGGAGAAGCTGTCGACAGTCTGTCCAGGTGGGTTTGTGAGTCTGGATAATAAACTGCGTCAAATCAATCAGAGCCTGAGGCTTTTCCGTGAAGGAGGGGGTATGATGTTTCTAGTTGAGGAGGTCTGTGGTGGTAAAGGGCTGATAGACAAATACCCATCCTCCTCCTTGTATTTGGCCTTCCTGGTCATAATACATGGGGCTCAGGGCATCCCTCAGGGGCATCTTCAGGGCAGCAGGAGGCTGAGGAGAGGAGGGGGCCTTCACAGAGACTGGTTAGATGCTCTTGATTGAATAGGGGATGTGGGGTGAGCACTGGTGGATTCGGAGTGTGTATGGAGTCTATAGGACTCAGGGGGTTTAGAGGAACAGAGGCCCCCAAGGCTTCCAAACCAGATTTTACAGGTGTGACTGTCCCTTGAGTTTCCCCATCCAGTGTCAGAGGTGGGGGTGCAGAAGTGGGCACTGGTGGCAGAGGTGGATAGAGTGGCACATAGGGTGGTGGTACCTCCTCTCAAAAGAGCCAGTACAGGCTCTTTTGCTTTTTCTCTACACTTGGAAGCTGCGGCCACCCTAGCTACCATAATCCTACAGGCCTCTTCCAGGTAAGGCCTTAGACATGTTGGCTGGCTGAGGACTGCATCCTGCCAGCATTCAATATAGGGAAATTGTTCTTGGTTCCCAAGCCTTCCTACAATTACCCTGTAAACTTCATTAACCACAGTTTTATCCAGTAACCCTTCCAGGGGCCACCCTACACCAAGAGCAGGCCAATCTACTTCACAAAGGGCCCTAAGCTTTTTAGAAGTTAACTTTACTCCATAGTCTCTATTAAATCCCTTTTTAAAGTTTTTAACCCTACACTCCAAGGGAGTGTTTTTACTCTGATTTCCATCCATTACCAGATGGCAAGACAGACACAGAGGGGGAGGGGTTTTGGAGGAGAGGTAAAGGGGGGCCCTCTTCTCCAACACACAAGGGAGGACAATACATGCCCCTTATCAGTGACCTGGAACTGGTTGCTGGGTCAGGAAATGCATCTACATAGGGTCCTCACTTGCTTTGTTCATCTCCAGCTGCTCCCCTTGTGCAAATTTAGGCATCTCTTGGCTGTAGTGAGTCCATATAAACCCTGGACCAAGGCCCTGTTAGGGCTCACCTTTGACATATGAGTTCACCACGGACACGCGCATTGGGACTCCACACTCACTTTGCAGCTGGGCTGCGTTTTAGGCTTGCACTTTCACACACTTTAACACAGTACAGTACTTCCGCTCCCTGTACCTGGGAGATGTGGTTTTACCCCAAGAGGTGGTTACTAGGGTGTCTCATTGGGAGTGGATCAGTCTACCCTTCTGCCTCCTGAGGCGGGCCTGAATTCGAATGCAAGTTCTTACCAGTCTGACAAGTGGTGCTCCTCTCCCCTCAGTGGTTCCTGCCCCTCACTGGGTTCCACTGTGCGTCCAGCACCTGCACCCCGACTTGCTGGGAGGACAAGTCCCACCTCCCAATCAAGCTGTCCGTTGGTGCCTGGTGGGATCACTTCTCCCAGCCATCTGGGGGCACAACCAGCAACAGGGGAGATGAAAAAAAACACGGTTTCTGCAATCCCAGCCACAAGCTCCCAAGAAATGTTGCAGGAATCTCAAGCTGAGATAGGGGACACTGAGGCAGTTTAGCAGAAAGCAATGTTTTATTGTGCCGGCACAGACTCGGAGGACTCGTGTCCAAAGGCCGAGCCCCAAGAACAAAGGGATCTCACCTTACATATTCTTGCAAGCAGGGTACAGAAGCAAAAAGCAGGGTCTAACCCATATATGGTTACATGCAATCCTATAGGCTACTTTACCTTGATGCTATGTGACCTTCTCCTCATTTGGATTTCTTAGGTTTTATCTTTTTGCTATGCCATCCCTACCTCCCTATTTTATCAGAACACAGGCCTGTGTTCCCTGCTACACTAGTACCACCAAAACAAAACAAAGACAGTCTGTGTAGCCCAGGCTGGCCTTAAACTCAAGATCCTCCCACTTTCACCTCCCAAGTGCTAGGATTACAGGCCTGCACCACCACACCCAGCTCCTAATTTCTTTTTATTGCTAAGTAGTAATCCATTGTATGAATACACTATTCACCCATGATGGATTTTTTAGGGGGGCTATTATGAGTAATGCTTCTTTGGACGTCCATATACAAGTTTTTGTTTGGAGACAGGATTTCCCATATAGTACAGGTTGGCCTGGAACTGAAGATGTGCCTCCCTCTGGCTGGGATTGCAGAAGTGAAACACCATGCCCAGTTGGAAGAGAGATCGTGAAGCTGCATTTTCATAGAACCATAATAGTATTTACTTAGATGTAGCTTGGAAATTATGAGAATTACTCCAAGCTACCCTTCAGTGCCCAGCTCTGGTCTGTGCCTCCGCTAAACGCAGAGCCCCGCCTGCCTCACGTGCGGCCACAAGAGGGCGCAGGAGCTCCGGTCCCGTGAACCCAAGGGAAAGCCGCTTCCTTCACTGGGTAGTTCAGTGTCCACAGTGAAATCTCCGGGAAAAGGGGAGCCCGCCGCTGCTCGCCTGTCCATTCCATGTTTACTGAGCTTGCACGAAGCCGCTGACCGGATGCTGGACAGCGACTGCCGAAGGCGAGAGCTGGGAACCGGCAGTTCTAGAGATAGCTATTTCCAGAACCTTCGCAGATCCCATTATCTTATTTGATTACAAGAGATCTGTCAAGCGGATGTTCCAGAAAAGGCAGCCGAGATTCGCCCTTAGGGCTGCGAGTGGCAGCCGCATCAAGCAGCGGGGTTGCCATGGAGCCCGCGGAGTTCGCTGAGGCTTCAACTCTGGTTACCCCGGCGACCATCCGGCGGTCACGTGACGCAGGAGGGCTACAGCTATCCTCCGGGCTTCCGTAGTCGGGCGGTGGTCACGTGGCGAGGGCTTGCACTTGGCGGCCGCCCCGCAAGGCTCCAGCGTCACATGACCGGCTCACAGGGAACATGGCGGCGGCCGTGGTGCAGCACCGGGACTGAGTGACAGCAGCTGGGCGCGCTTCTTCCCAGGAGGGGACTCAACTCTCCTCCACCCGCTCCTGTCCCCAGCATCACCGGCTTTGCTCACGTCCCCTCCGTGCAGCGTTTTGCTGGGACGGAAGGGAATGACGGGACCCGGGTCCCTTCCCAGCCGTGCTCTGTGCTTGGGGGCCAGGTCCTAGCCGATTCTGGGCGCACTCCCTCACCTGGGCGTCCATTCTTCTTTCTCCAGTCTCCTTCCCTTGCAGGTGAGATCGTCGGTGGAACCGGAGCGCGGGCGGGCGCGCCCCCCCGCCCGACCCCTACCGGGGACCATGGCCGGATCCGACACGGCGCCCTTCCTCAGCCAGGCGGATGACCCGGATGACGGGCCGGTGTCCGGCACTCCGGGATTGCCAGGTTCCATGGGGATCCCGAAGTCCACGGAGCCTGAGGTCCCGGACCAGGAGGGGCTGCAGCGCATCACGGGTTTGTCTTCGAGCCGTTCGGCTCTCATAGTGGCCGTGCTGTGCTACATCAACCTCCTGAACTACATGGATCGCTTCACCGTGGCCGGTAGGTACCGACTTCCGGGAGGGATGGAAACTGGGGGAAGGGAGCAGGTGCCCCGGATGGGGCCGCCTCGGCCGGCACATCCTGAGTTTTCTCCTCCTAGGCGTCCTTCCAGACATCGAGCAGTTCTTCAGCATCGGGGACAGTAGCTCCGGCCTCATCCAAACCGGTGAATGAGGCTCCTGGTTACACAGCAGCTCTTTTATGCTCAGTTGGGGCCACATGCAGACTTGCCTGGGGCTCATTCATGAGGGTTTAGTGGCCAGAGTTAGGGGAAGTAATAACCTTGACTTTGCTCTGGGGCTGTCTGGTTCAGTCAGGAGGTCACACTTAAAGAGGAAGTCTGTCTAGAATAACGGGTTTAAATCTCACCTCTCTGGCTGACAGTGTGGTGGAAGGCAAGGCACTGAACCTCTAAGTCTCCTTTTCCTCTCGGTAAGATGGAGCTCGCAGTAACATGGGTCGTCTAGTAGGACTGATAACAGGATTAAATGAGGTCATGCCTGTAAAGTGCCTAATGCAGTTTTGGCACGAGGTAGGCACCCAATAAACAATGGCAGGTGAGGGTGTTTGGGATGGGGAAAGGTTTTCCTTGTTCAGAACCTTGGGGTTCTGAGGGAGACAAAGCCAAGTCTTTCCCTTCTTTCCCTCCTTCATTTCTGAAAGGTTTCTGAGCACCTACTAGGTGCTAGGCTCTAGAGAAAGTGGGATTTGGAGAGAGACATCATTGTCTGTTAATCCTTTTATCAGCTGAGGAATACGTATTATTCCTGTTTTATAGAGGAAATAGAGAGTATTATCTGTTTATTTTTGGTAGTATTGGGTTTTGAACTCAAGGCCTTGCAATTACCAGACAAGTGCTATACCACTTGAGCCTCGCCAACCTTATCTATATTTTTATAAAGAAATAGTCTAGCTGGGGGCGGCTCACGCCTGTAATCCTAGCTACTCAGAAGGCACAGCTTAGGAGTGTTGGAAGCAAACCTTGGGCAAAATAGTTCCTGAGACCTTATCTGGAAAAAACCCATCACAACAAAAGGGCTGGCAGAGTGGCTTAGGTGATTAAGAGTGCCTGCCTAGTAAGAGTGAGGCCCAGACTTCAAACCCCAGTGCGGCCAAAAAAAAGAAAGACTGACACTTGAAGAAGAGTTGATTTGCCGAGAATGATACAGTTAGCAAAAGAACAGGAATTTGAAACCAGGTCTTGCAGTGTTCTTTTCTCTGCTCCAGGCCAATGAGGAACTGTAGGTTTTTAAGTCTGGAGAAATGAGAATAGGATCATAGGTCAAGGTTGCAAAGGTCTGAATAGTTGTCAAATTAAAGAAGCAAATCTTTCTAGACAGCCTCGTTTATTCCCCTTTTCCTTTAACACGTGTTGACTGGGCACCTCTTTTGTGCTAGGTTCTGTTAAGTAAGGGAATCAAAGTCATGGTCCTTGCCTTTCTGGAGCTGACATTCCTCTGCACCAGGGAGTCAGTAAAAACCCTCAGTTAAGATGAGATGACTTTCTGTAAGGATCAGTGTAACGTAAAAGAAAACAGTAAATGTCTGGTGGTCTGGGTAGGTATCTGAGCTGAAATTCAAAAGAGCTGAGCTCTGAAGGTCAGGAGACAGGAGAAAACCTTGCAGATAGAGGGAACGGCAGGTGCCGATACCTTAAGCGGTTATTGACCTTGGTAGTTGGCTGTTGGGATGTAGAGAGGAAGGGAAAGTGGATGGCCGTGAGTCAGAGAGGCAGGCAGGGACTGAATCAGAGCACTGTGGGCCATGGGTGTGGAGCATGGATTTTGTTCTGGGCTGGGTGATAACGCCTGTGTGACATATCACTTTAAAGGAAGGCTTAGCAAGGTGCTGGAGAGGGGCTGGACCACCCCCTGTGGAAGCTCTCATAGGTTGCAGGGTTGGGTTGAAGGGTGGCATGCAGTTAAGCGGGACCTCTTTTGCTTTAGTTGGTGCTACATCTCACCCCACCCCTCTGCTGGGGAGGGAGTGGGGGCGTGGGGGCCTGGGGCCGGGCTGTGACTCTCTGCTTCCTCCCAGTGTTCATCTCCAGTTACATGGTCTTGGCACCTGTGTTTGGCTACCTGGGTGACAGGTACAATCGGAAGTATCTCATGTGCGGGGGCATTGCCTTCTGGTCCCTGGTGACACTGGGGTCATCCTTCATCCCCAGAGAGGTGAGGCCTGGAGTTGGCTTCTGGCCACTCCCCATTCTCCCATCAATCTTTGCTGGTGCTACTTGAGGTCATTCCAGACCTGGCCAGGGAAACTTCCTCAGTTTCCTTGGTCCATGCCACATTTTACCCTCCTTGCCTAAGTTAATCTGCTCATCCCTTCCTCTTTTAGACCCTTCTTCCATCCATTAGCCCCTCTTCCTCTGACTCCTTCCACTCCATACCTAAATATGTTCCTCTACCATGGAAAAACCCCCACCTGGACTGCCCTCTCCCTCTCCTCCTGGTCAGACTTCTGAGAGGCTCAAGCCAGGCCCTGGCATGGCCGAAGTTGTAGCCCAGGCCTAGCTCCCACTCAGTGCCCACTCACCCTTAATAAGTGTGGGTGCTGACTCCTGCCTCAGTCACTCCATTGGACCTGTTCACTCTTGCCAAAGTCAACACAGCCCTCCTGGTTGCTCGTTGTGGCTCCTGCTTTCTAGTCCTAGTCTCGCTAGATCTCCCAGGAGCCTCTGGCACATTGACCCACCTCTTCCTTCCTGGAGTGAACGCTCTTCTAACTTCTGTGATGCCACAGGCTGCTGCTTTCCCTACTGCCTCCCTGGCTGATGCTTCTTTGCTCTGTGTAGATCTCCTCCATCCACTTTCACTGGGTCCTGGATTCTGTGCTTGGCCCCAGGCCCTACATACTCTCCCCAGGTGATTGTACCCCATCCTGGCTCCAGGTGTCTTTGATAGACAAATAACTCCCCACCTAAGATCATTATTCTCCATTGTGGTGTCGTGGGTGTTGCAGGTGAGGTGGGAACTAAGATGTACTTTGCACCTGCTGGATGCAGGTTAATGAGCAGACCTGTTATTACATGGTCCTCACAGTCGCTTTGTGAACAAGTTGTTGTTATTCCCCTTTTGCAGATGAGGAAACTGAGGCTCAGAGAGGTTAAGTTACTTTCTCAAAGTCACAGCTAGTAAGTGGTGGAGCCAGGATTCCAGCCAGGTCTGTCTGATTCAAAGCCTAAGCCTTCCCTGCCTATCCCTGCTGCCTCTCCAGCACCCGTTGGTGAGGTCGCCTGGGAGGCTGGCTCCAGGGCGGGGTGCCACCTCCCCCATGTCTCCTTCCCTAGCGTTTCTGGCTGCTCCTCCTGACCCGGGGCCTGGTGGGGGTCGGGGAGGCTAGTTACTCCACCATCGCGCCCACCCTGATCGCCGACCTCTTCGTGGCAGACCAGCGGAGTCGAATGCTCAGCGTGTTCTACTTTGCCATCCCCGTGGGCAGGTGAGTGGCCTTGGGCCTGGTGGGGATAGAGGCCTTCTTAGGGCACTTGACTCACTTGGAGTCCCCTTTTTCTCTCTCCACCTCCTCCCAGTGGTTTAGGTTACATTGCAGGCTCCAAAGTGAAGGATGTGGCCGGGGACTGGCATTGGGCCCTGAGGGTGAGTCTGGTCATGGCATGGGGAGGGTCAGTGACTTTGTCCCATCCCCCTTCTGACCTTCACACACCCCCTTTGTGTGGCAGTCCTCACTCTGCCCTCGCCGGGAAGCCGGTGCTAGACATACCTTGCTCGCAGGTAATTGGAGCCCATTGCAAAACTGTAAGCCCCAGGAGGGACTGTGTTGGTTTTCCTAGTGAGCTTCAGGTAAAGCTGGATCCAGGGCTCTCACACTGTCACTGGAATTGGATCATTCTCTGCTTTACCTTACTCTTTATTAACTCTGTTCTCGTGTGTGAGAGCCCCAAATGGTTATCTTTCGACTGAGTGACTTCAGCACCTTGGATCCTTGGATAGTAGTCATGGGATGGTGTCTGAGTAGGTGAGTGGCGGTCACATGCCTGTCATCAAGTCAGTCACCAAGGCTATGGGTTGACAGCACTCTTGGCCAAGTCTAGAGTCCTGTTTGAACCATGTAGATTGAGTGAAATGGGGGAGAGTGGTTTCCCAAAAAATGAGACACCATTACCAAAGGGCATCAAAGTTAGGCTTATGGAAGTAGGATGGCCCCATGGCAACTCCCACCCTCTTCCAAATTGAAGGTTCAGCTGCTTTGAGCAGGCACGAAGGGGTGTTTTGACGTGTTGGGGGCTGAGTGTGTTCTGCCTGGGCCTGTGCTGAAACTTAATTCTTCCCCCAGGTGACACCAGGTTAGGGGTGGTAGCTGTCCTGTTGCTGTTCCTGGTAGTACGAGAGCCACCCAGAGGAGCTGTGGAGCGCCACTCAGACTCACCACCCCTGAGCCCCACCTCATGGTGGGCAGATCTGAGGGCTCTGGCCAGAAAGTGAGTTTAACCACTTCCTAGTCCCCCATCTGCAGCCCTGAATCTGGGCCGGTTTTCTGTTCAGCCAGCTGGCCGTTTATAGGTCAGGAATTCAGGCATACTGCCCCCTTGTGGCCATTGCATGCATTATAGGCCCAGATCCTGGGGTCAGTCCAGCCTCCACACCCAGCATTCTGACTTTATAAAAGAAACCATTATTTCACACATGGACCTCTGTGGGGTATGACTTTCTCCCTCCCATCTGCCCGTAGTCCTAGTTTCATCCTGTCTTCCCTGGGTTTCACTGCTGTGGCCTTCGTCACGGGCTCCCTGGCCCTCTGGGCCCCAGCGTTCCTGCTGCGTTCCCGTGTGGTCCTAGGGGAGACACCGCCCTGCCTTCCTGGAGACTCCTGCTCTTCCTCTGACAGGTACACAGGTGGGGCTGGGATGGGGACCTGCAGGTGGCAGGAGCAGGTCTGAGTCAGGCTTGGCCAGGGGAGGTTGAATCCCGAATCCACCAGTCCTGGTTTCCGGGTCTGGAAGATACGTGAGACGCTAATGTGTGGGCTGTGGGGTGTTGTGCCAGACAGACTCAGGCGTGAGGCCGGCTGGGATGACCTGTCTTCCTCTTGGGGCTGGGGGCCAGGCTGGGGTCCTTGAGGGCAGAGGAACTAACCCCTGTGCTACCACCTACCCTTAGTCTCATCTTCGGGCTTGTCACCTGCCTGACTGGCATCCTGGGTGTGGGCCTGGGTGTGGAGATCAGCCGCCGCCTCCGCCGCTCCAACCCCCGGGCTGACCCGCTGGTCTGTGCTGCTGGCCTCCTGGGCTCCGCACCCTTCCTCTTCCTGTCCCTTGCCTGTGCCCGGGGTAGCATCGTGGCCACCTATGTAAGTATCTGGCAGGCATCGGGGGCTCTCCTGGGTCAGGGAAGGAACTGTGCACAGAGCAGAACTGGGGTCAGTCTGCAGAGCAGCTCCATCTGAATCACAGTGTGGCAGGGAAAGCAGCTTAACCTTTGTGCACCTGGTTTTGTCATCTGTAAACTGGGATTGATGGTGGCACTGCTCCTAGGTGCGTGCTGAGGAGTGAACGGGCCTGGCGTGGTGTAGGCCCTTCTGGTGCTTGCTTGTATCTGAGATGCGCCTTCCTTCCCGCTTTACAGATCTTCATCTTTATTGGAGAGACCCTTCTGTCCATGAACTGGGCCATCGTGGCTGACATTCTCCTGGTGAGTGGCTGGGCAGCTTCAGCTTTACCCAGAGGCTTCTGGGAGCACAGATCAGGGTCAGGAGATGTTGCTTCCTCTGAGTTGTGGCCTTATCCCTTCTTCATACTCAGCCCCACACAACTTTAGAGTCCAGCTTCAGAGGGGCCTGTGGTTCTGGTGGCCTGGCTTGGGCCTACGCTGAACTTTGGCCCTGTCCTGGCCCTCTGCCCTTGAACCATGGGCCCACTGAGTTCCTGCCCCCTTCACCCCCAGTATGTGGTGATCCCCACGCGACGCTCCACCGCTGAGGCCTTCCAGATTGTACTGTCCCACCTGCTGGGTGATGCTGGGAGCCCCTACCTCATCGGCCTGGTGAGCACCATGCTTGGCTGTGGTGGGGTGGGGCTAGAGGACCTGGTACTTGTCTGCATTGCCAGTAGCCCAGACCTGGCCAGGAGAGAAGGTCTGGCCCAGGTGGACATCTGCATCCTCTGCACCTCGAGTTTTTCACTCGAGTCCTCTGCTTACAGGAAGGATGTCGTCTGAAGGTTTCTCCCCTTGAGGCTGTGGACCTCACCCCGTGTTCCAAACCTCCTTTTCCTCTCCCAGGTTCCAGTTTCTTTTCTCCTGGCAGTCACATCCCTTGCTTCCTGGCCCTGGCCCTCTCCTGGCCATCATTCTGCCCCTGTAGGTCTCTGATGTCTTCTGACGGGGCTGGCCCCCTCCTTCCTGTCCTGGGCTCCCCATCCTGACCCTCTCCTGGCCGTCCACTGCCCCTGCAGGTCTCTGACCGCCTCCGCCGGAGCTGGCCCCCCTCCTTCCTGTCCGAGTTCCGAGCCCTGCAATTCTCACTCATGCTGTGTGCCTTCGTCGGGGCGCTGGGTGGCGCAGCCTTCCTGGGCACCGCCATCTTTATTGAGGGTGACCGCCGGCAGGCTCAGCTCCACGTTCAGGGTTAGTCGGGCCCCTGTACCAGCACTGCCTGTTTGTCCATTTGTTTCTGCCCAGGCTTGTGACCAGCCTCTCCTCACCCAGCTTTGGTTCTGTCTGTTCAGTAAGCTGATGTCTGTGTCCACAGCTGGTGGCTCTTGTTACCGCTCCCACGTCGCAGCCTGTTTCTCCTCTGTGGCTCACTTTGCCCACCCAGCCTTGCCTCTGACCCTCCCTTCTCAGGTCTGTTGCATGAGGCAGGCTCCACGGATGACCGCATTGTGGTTCCCCAGAGAGGCCGTTCCACCCGGGTCCCCGTGTCCAGCGTGCTCGTCTGAGGTGCCGTCACTCGCCTGTCTGCACATCAGTCACCAATGGCCTGGGCTGCCCCATGCCGTGCCCGGCTGAAACCCTCAGCCTGCCCAGCTTCAGAGGAAGCTGTGGGTTGTGTCCCAGCTTCCAGATACTACATGGGCAGCCCGGGGAGGAGTGGGGGACCGGGAGTGGTATCCCTTCTGTCGGGGCAGCCCAGGGGCTCGGTGCTATTTGTAATGAAATAAAATTTGTAGCCAGTTACCAAGGGCCTGCCTCTGTCTTTCTCTGGGTGCCAGTGACCTCTGACCTCTGGGTGGCAGGAGATGCTCATTTCCAGTCTCACGGCCCCGGGTCTGTTGGGTCACACTGTGGGCTAGTGCCTGTCCTCAGCAGGGTGGCCCAGAGGGGAGGCCTGCTGTCCAAGTGAGCTGGCTTGGTGTGACCGTGACTCACACTTGTGCTCCCTAGGAACCTGCCCTTCCTGGCAGGCAGGCCTGGTGAGGGGGGGTGGGTGCTGCCCAGCTCTAGACCCCGTAGCCTTTGTGTGGGTGCCTTTCCTAGCCCCGGCTGGCAGGTGTGTGCCCTTCTCAGTGGAGGGGTCCTGTCCTGTAGCAGCAGAGACCCTCTGCGAGAGCCTCACAGCCCTCAGCCTCCTCCCCTTCCCATGGCTGGGTTGGGGGTGGGCAGGGGCGGTGCAGTGGCTGAGGAGCGATGATTTCCTGCCCTCACCCGGCCTCGCCACAAGCTTCCTGCCACAGGCGGGCGGGCGGCACGGAGGAGAGGGTGCGAGCGAGTGAGGAGGGAGTGAGGGCAGGGACCAGGGACGGCTGGGTGCAGGACAGGTAGGGTAGCTGGTACCCCAGACCCAGCTCCGGCCCTGGCCTGACCATTCTGGGCCCTGCATCTCCCAGAGCCAGTGTTGACCCTGCTCAGCCCAGCTGGGGAGCAGGTCCTTGAGCCCCAAGGAGGGCTCTTGTCTGGGCCACTCGGTCCCCAGGTGCAGGCTGTCCTGCAGATGGAGGCCAACAGCCTGACCCCCTTTGCACTGGGCTTACTGTTGCTACCTGTCCTGGCCACACTGCTGGCTGCACTCTGCGTGCGCTGCCGCGAGCTGCCAGGTGAGTGGGGAGCTGGTGGGTTCTGGGTGCTGGGCACGGGGACAATCCTTGCACTGTACCCCGCCCCTCGTCCCTCTAATGGTCCCCACCTCTGTCCTATTCGGTGCCCAGGGCCTCTGAGAGCCCCTGGGCCCTCAGTACCTTTCCTGCCTCACTGGCCCTCTCTTCCCCAGCCTCCTATGACACCGATTCCGCAGACAGGTGAGTCTGACAGCCCCCTGCATGTCCCCCTCTGTCCCCATGGTGAGGCTGGGCCTAGGCCTCTCTTGACCCTGTACCCAAGCTGTCTTTCTCCTGCCAGTTTGTATCCAAGGAGCATCCTGATCAAGCCACCTAGTGAGTACAGAGGGTCCCCTGCCCTTCTCTCGTACCGGGTTCTTGGTATGTGAGCGAGAGAGTGCCTGAGTTCAGTCCTCCTACCCTGGACTGTCCACGTGGCCTTGACCCGGCCTAGGGATGGGGAGGTAGGAGCCCCTAGGTCTGTCCAGGACCTGGGTTTCAGGGGATGAAGCTACCCTCTAAGGCCTTGGTGAGAGTACTGGGTGTGATGTCTGGAGTCTTTCCCTCAAGCTTGGCTCTGTCCTCAGACACACTTGCCCCCTGGTCGTCTGTGGCCTCACACCCACCCGTTAGTTCCTGTCTACCTCTGAGCCAGCCAGACCTGCTCCCCATCCCGTGAGTACCCCGCTCCCCCTCCAGATCCCTGCTGCCCTTTACTCTCTTGGATTGTGGGCATTTTTTCCTGTTGTAACCCCTCCTGTCCCCAGAACCCAACCCAGACCTAACCCCTGACCTTTGACTCCCAGGAGATCCCCACAGCCCCTTGGCGGTTCCCATCGGCTGCCATCTTCCCAGCAGGATTCGGATGGTGGTAAGGGGGGCTCAGCAGAGTTGGGGGGCTGGGGTTGGGCCGAAGTCAGACCTCGATTTAAGTTGACTCAGTCTCTCTCCTGCTGTCTCTGAAGCCAACAGTGTGGCGAGCTACGAGAACCAGGGTGCGTCTGGGACCCCAGGTACCCGGCTGGGTGGGTAGGCTAGGGCCTGTCCTGAGCCATGCTGACCCTGTGTCACTACCCCAGAGCCAGCATGTGAGGATGCAGACGAAGATGAGGACGAAGATGACTATCCCGAGGGCTACCTGTGAGTGGTGAGGTGGGAGGTGGGGGCCAAGGCCGGGCGTCCTCACTGACCCTCCCTGTTCCTTCCTTTCAGAGTGGTGCTTCCTGACAGCACCCCAGCCACCAGCACCTCTGTTCCCTCAGCTCCTGTGACCAGCAACCCTGGCCTCCGAGACAGTGCCTTCTCCAGTGAGTCGGAGTTTCTGTCCACCCCCTCCCCCATGTGCCTCGGGCCCCACCTCTCTTCTTGTTACATTGTGATTGCTGTCCCTCCATTTCCCATTTCCTCCTTCCTGCTGTGATCTTCTGATTTTTCTTACTTTTCCTCTCCCTTTTCCTGTCTCTTTTCCTTTCCCTTTTGTCTGTTTGGATGAATTTCTTGACTTTATTCTTCAATTCTTCTATTGAAATTTCATGCCTAATTTCCAGAAGTTTGTTCTTGGTCGTTGAATGTTCTTTTTGTATAACATCCTGTTCTTGTTTCATGGAGCCAAGAGCATCTTGGACATCTCTAAGGATGTTAATTAGAGGTTGTCTTTGTTTGCCTGGAGATTTTCTTCTGTTTCCTCCCTGGTCTCACTTTAAGCTGCTGTTCTCCCTTGTCTTGGTCTCACTCTCTGGACTTCCCTCAGGGTCTAGCAATCTTCAGTTTTCTGTTCCCACCTGTCTCTCTCTATAGCTTGGGCGTCATTTATCCGAAACTCTGAGGACAGGAGTATTTTAGATTTGGGAATATTTATATATACATACAATGAGATCTCTTGGGGTTAGGACCCGAGTCTAAAATGAAATTCATGTATGTTGCATACATACCTTCTGCACATAGCTCAAGGGTAATCTTATACAATATTTTAAATAATTTTGTGCATGAAACTGAGCTTCATGTTATGGGATTTTCTACTTGTGGTGTTTTATCAGGCATTCAAAAGGTTTTAGATTTTGGAGCAGTTCAGATTTGGGATTTTTGGGTTAGAGATGCTTAGCCTCTATATACTTTCTCACTCTGGCTCCATCCACCGTCCGGATTTCCACTTTGCCATCTCTTTCCTCAGCTCCATACTGTCTGTGCAGGTGTTTCCTTTTGTTCTTTTATTCATTCAGTCAATGAGTCAGTCAGTCACTCGTTCGTTCATTCCATGTACACTTGGTTTGTGGCTGGGCTAATGGGAATTAGTGGATCAGTGTGGTGAACTGTGATGATAAAAGAGCTACTGTTAGCTGAAGGCCTACTGAGTGCCCTACTAGAGTTTGCACAGAGTTGGAGCTGGGATTTGAACCTGGGCAGTCTGGCTCCCAAGTGTACCTTGCCCATGTCCTCATGGAAACACGTAGCCACACACTGATTACCCAAATGATCCTGGGAGCGATCAGTGCACCGAGGGCCTGAGAAGGAGGGACACAAGGATGCAATGGCTGGCAGTAATGGGGACAGGGCCTGAGCCCCAGGGGCAGCTGCTCTGCCATTATTGCATTTGTCCTCATTTCTCCAGTCCGGTGGACCTCCCTGTCCTCATCCTGGCCATTGTCTGCTTGTCTAGAACCTTCTATCCCACCCCAGGGGACTGGCTGGGGCATAGTTTCAGGGAATTGCCCTTGGAGCTAGACGCCTGAGTTGGGGCCTCGGGGAATTGTGGCCAGGGGTCTGTAGTGACAGTGCTGTGGTGGATGGGCTCCATTGCCTTTCCTACAGTGGAGTTTGGTGAAGATTACGTGAATGTCCTCGAGAGTGAGGAGAGTGCAGAAGCGTCTCTGGGTGAGTGACCCTCCATCTCACACCCGGCTGCCCACACCTCTCCCCTCTGTCTGGGGTCCTGCCCATGTCCTCTGTGTGGTCTGCTCCCCACCAGACGTGGCATTCCTCCTTCTGACCTGTCCCCACAGATGGCAGCCGGGAATACGTGAATGTGTCCCAGGAGCTGCATCCGGGGACCAGGACTGAAGCTGGTAGGTATGGGAGGCAGAAGTGAGGCGCTGCCGGGGAGCGTGGCCTGCAGGCTAGGCGCCAACCTGCCCTCCCCTCCCCTTGCAGCCGCTCTGAGCTCCCAGGAAGTGGAGGACGAGGAGGACGAGGAAGATGGGGACGGGGAGGGGGAGGGGGCACCTGATTATGAGAACGTATAGGAGCTGAGCCCAGGCTTGGTGAGTGGCCTCTGGCCCTGCCCTGCCCCGGGCCCCTGCCCTGCCCCGGTACCTGCCCTGCCCTGGGCCCCTGCCCTGCCCCGAGCCCCTGCCCTGCCTTGGCTGCTGGTCTGACCCTCCCTGAGGACCCCTTTCTGACAAACTCCAATACTTAGGCCTGTGCTCTGTGGCTCTGGGTGCCCTCTGGGCCCCATGGCTTCCTGACCGCTGCCCTGTTGCGTTTCAGCTAAGGCGAGGCCATCCTAGAAGCAGCCTTGTGGGGAGGGCTGAGCGGGCGGCTGAGGTGACCTGGCCCCTCAGGCGCCAGCTCTGTCTCCAACCTGATGACAGCCTGAGAACCTCCTAACTTATTGTCACTTTGGGGTCCAGTCTGTGTCCCCGATACTCTGCACCTTCTGACACCACCTGAGAATGAACCTCCCTTTCCCAGCCCTACTCTGCCATGGAATAAAGGCCCCTGTGGTCTGGAGTCCTCTTGGCTTTGGTACCCAGGGCTGAGAGGGGGTGACGGTGGGGCTGGGTCCAAGGGCCTATGTGTGTCTTCCTATGTGTGTGTCACATGCGCGCTGTGAGCGTGCAGGAGTGCATGGGGTGTATGTGCGTGTGAGTGGTGAGTGTGGGGGTGTTTGTGTACGTGGGGAGGTGTGCATGTGAGTGTATGGGGTATGTGCGTGTGTGGGTGCTGTGTACATGTGGGAGTGTGCACGTGTACATGTGAGTATGTGAGCATGTGTGTGCACTACGTGCCTGTGCATGTGAGCCTGTGGGTCAGAGGCCTTCTAGAAACCCATGTGTCTGTCTGGGTCTCATTCTGCCTTGGGGCTCCCGATGGTCCTGGCCAGATGCTGTGACAGCAGACAATGGCTGGGACACTGACACCTTCCAAGTGAAGTTTCTGACCCCTGCTGTCATTTCCGGGGCTCAAGAAGAAGCAGAAAGAAAGGCCCTTTCTTTGCAGTGCAGCCTAGTTTGAATGCTGCTGGGCAGACAGCAAACGCCACACCGGCCACTCTGGCTGTGGTGCGGATCTGAGCTGACGCAGTGGGGCCTAGCGGAGCCGGGGCTTTGTGTCTCCAGGAGCTCCTGCGCGGTTCCAGCACTGATGCCGCGTGAACTTCACGTGGATGGTGAGGGTGTGGTGGGTTCCGTTGCTTTCCCTTGCTCTGGGAGTCCCCTTGCTTTTCCTCCTGGATCCTCTCCTCTCTGTGGGTCTGGAGGCTGCTGGACCAGCCTCCACCTCATGAAGCCAGCCCACAGTCAGAAATGCCTGGGACCAGCCATCGTCCTTTCCCAGGCCATGTGATGGTGAGGCCTGGCACGTGGGCCACTGGGTCCTGGGAGCAGATGGGATTTAGACCGTTCACTCACAGCTGTCATGAAGCTGGGATGTGGTCCTGGAGAGTGAGCCATGGGGACAGCATGGCCCAGAGAAAACAGGGCCAGCTTCCTGGATCTAATCATACGTGAGCAAGATGAACCCCAAGACTCCCCAGTTATGTGGCCAATAAACTTCACCTTGTCTGCAACTGGGTTGACTTGTCTGTTGCTACAGCTGAAGTCACACTGATAGACGTGCAGAGTTGGCGGCTCTCTGTGGACTCCGAAGGCAGTAAGAACTTCTCATGTACCGAATGCATTTCATGGTTTCATTTAATCACCACAACTACCCTATGGTCAGTTATGGCTGGTATCCCCATTTCCCAGGTGAAGAAACAGGCTCAGAGAGGTGACATGACTTGTCCAAAGGCACACAGCCGAAGAGGTAATTCTGTGATAAGATCTGGGCCCCAGGAGTCCCTGCCGCACTGCCTGCTGGTCTCCTTGTTTTGTCCAGTGTGTAGTGGGGGAAGCTGAAGAGCTGAGAATAGACTGGGGGCGGACGGGGGGTGTCTGGGAAGGACATTGACCAGAGGGACTGGGCTGAGGGACAAAGGAGCGCATCAGCAAGGTAGGGGTGGTACAACTGCCTTGGAGAACAATGTAGCAACACCTAGCAAAGCTGACCTTTTATGAGTAGATTCCTGGGCAGAACCCTGGCCAGCAAGTACAGAGTCTCAGGAGGCAGGTGCAGGCCGGCACAGGGCAGCCCTGTGCTGGGTACAGCCAGAAGCCACTTGGTCACCCGCTGCTGGGCAACAGAGAATTGGGGAGCAGTTGTGTGCTGGATACACCAGTAGGAGAAGGAGTCAGGCCTGTCAGCATGGATGGCATCACTGACCATGTACAGTGAGACGGCAGCTCAAGCCACGTGCATTCAGTTAAAACCGCGAGAATGATACAAATTACATATCCCTCATCCGAAATGCCTGGGAACAGAGGTGTTTCAAATTTGGGGTTTTTCTCTTATTTTAGAATATTTGCTTTAGTTATTTTTTGGATAGGGCCTCACATTTTCACTCAGGGCCAGCCTTAGACCACAATCCTCCTACTTGCCTCCTGAGCAGCTGAGATGACAGGCACACGACACCATGCCTGGCTTATTTGTTGAGATGGGAGTCTTGCTAACTTTTTGCTTGGGCTGGCCTTGAACCAGGATCCTAGTGATCTCTGCCTCCTGAGCTGGGTGCACCTACATAAATATATATATATATTTTTTTTTTTTTTTGGCAGGACTGGGGTTTGAACTCAGGGCTTTGCATTTGCTAAGCAGGCGCTCTACTATTTCAGCCAGCCCATGCACCTGCATTTTGATTGCAACCCATCATATGATGTCAGGTGTGGAATTTTCCACTTGTGTCCTGTCTGCTCCCAAAACATTTTGGATTTTGGAGCATTTCAGGTTTTAGATTTTTGGGTTAGGAATGCTCACCCTATGAGGGTCTGTTATTTGGTGACACACACATGTCGGTATTAAGGCAGGAGTGAAGAACACTGGATTTAGGGTGGCGGGAGAGGAATTAGATGGGGGAGTTCAACGAAGGCCTCAATGAACTGTGCAATAGTGGGCCAGGGTGCGGCTCAGAGATAGAGCGCTTGCCCAGCGTGCGTGAGGCCCTGTGTTCCTTCCCATCACTGAAAAATAAGTACCATGGGGGAAGGAGGCTACACAAGTGTTTGCTACATGAGTCTTTATGTGTTTGCATATTTTAATGGTAATACCTAGGCTCAAGGCCCCAGGAGGGACTGGCTGGGGACAGAGGACATGGCATAAGCGACAGTCACTGGTCGGTTTGTGCCAAGTTGGACGAGTTACCTGTGGTGCTCCAGGCCTTTGGAACAGCATATGCCAAGGCCCTGAGGTATATCTGAGGGGAAAAGAAACACCATGCTGTGAGGTTGGAAGGAGGTACAGAGAGGTGAGACCCACAGCATCCTCCAGTGGCTTCAGAGCTGGGAATGACATGGTCAGGTTTGTGTTTTAGCAAATGTCTCTGGCCCAGTTGGAACGGGGCTGGACAGGAAGGGCAGTTAGACTACAGACATGAAGAACCTTGAGGAGATTTTAGAAATGGTGGTGGGCTAGCCAGAGTGCAATCTAGGGGCCACAGTGGTGAGTTGACCATGGACTTGGGGACATTCCTTGAGTCACTGGCCAGCTTCCCATTTGTGTGTCCTGGACTAGTCAAGTGGTTGTGGCTTTGTTTCTAGTTGTCTTGGACCAGGTGGACCCACAGAGAGCAGACCTACAGTGGTACCTGCGGGGCCAACCCTGGATTTCTTGGCACATTGGAGTCATCAGTGTGGGGTGGGGGTGGGGAGGTGTTGGAGACAAGGTAGAGTTTGTAGCAAGTGAGAGAGAGAGAAAGAGAGAGAGAGTTTTCCCAGAATTGCGTGGCAGCTCTCTGGGGCTCCTAAAAGCCATCAGGGGGAATGGGTCACTCCATTTGGCTCCTCCCAGAAGCAGACCCAAGAGGAGCATCCTGTGCCAGTAGTTTAGGCAGGAGGTTGTCCCAGAAAATGCTGGCAGGGGAGTGGGGACAGAAGACAGAAAAGGAGAGGCAGCCAGTAGAGGACATGTGATAGAGACAGCCAGGTATCACTGTGGACACTGGAGTCAGGCCCTCGAGGGTGACTGGGAGCCATCAAGGAGCGTAAGGTACAGATTTCTGCCTGTAGGAAGGACTGGGGTATTTATACCTCTCCTCCCAGAAGTCACTAGTTGAAGGCTGCTCCCAGGCGGGGTGAATCATCCAGGGCACACAGGCACTGGTGGCTCATGCCGGTAATCCCAGCTACTCAGGAGGCAGAGATCAGGAGGATCACCGATCAAAGCCTGCCTGGGCAGATAGTTTGCAAGACCCTATCTCAAAAAAACCCATCACAAAAAAAAAAGCCTGGTGGAGTGGCTCAATGAAGGCCCTGGGTTCAAGCCCCAATACCACTAAAAAAAAATAAATAAAAGTAAAACCAACAACAACAAAAAAATCATCCAGGGCTTCTGGTCTGCTGTCAGGTGGGCACAGGGGCTCCAGGGGCCAGAGCGTGCCCTCGGGCAGAGGAAGATAGGCGCTGGTAGTGGAGGCAGGCCACTGAAACTTGGGAGGAAGGTCCACAGACAGAGTGTCCTTATGCTAATTGCTCCACATGCCAGGTCGTTTGTGGCGATTAGCACACTCTTTCCCAAAATGCATTGCGTGGTCCATGAGTCTTGTGAGAAACTTCTCAAGAAAGGTCCCTGGGGCAGAGGGTGAAGCTTAGCAGTAGAGCTCTTCCGAGCATTTGCAAGGCCCTGGGTTCAATCCCCAACATTACAAAAAAGGAGAAAAGGCTTCTGGAGTCCGAAGAGCTTGGAAACAGCAGCTCTTTTCTAACACCTCCTTGCAGAGTCAAAATACAGCAAATCGAGACATCTCGCCACACCTTCTTCTCTCTGCCTGACCTGCTAATTCCTGAATTTACGTGACATGTTATTTGAACACCTAGAGAAGACATCTTTTGTTCTTGCCTTCCTGGCATCTTCCCTCCAAGACTCCTTTTATGTGGCCCTGATGGGACTGACTTCTTGGGTGTGCACGTGACTCAGCTTGGCCAGTACCATATCTGTTCCCTGGCTGTGATGACTGCTCAGTACAGGGGCACGTGACCCAGTTCAGGCCAATCAGATCTGTCCTTGAGATTTTGGGGTACTGGGGTTGTTGACCTCACGAGACAAGGGGCCTGGAGCTTTGTTGACCTCCCCCGAAAGACAGCCTCCCTGGGACCTCAGGATCCCTAGAGGACAGCAGAGTGATGGCAGCTCCGAGTCTCTGGTCAAATGGGCCTGAGGCACATTAATGAACAATTACTCAAACTAGGCCCTTTCCCCAGGCCCATGTGAGCCGAACTTTCTGCAACCTACGGCATAAGATTCTTAACCCACAACCATGGCTGCTGTCACCTCCAAACTCCAACCAGTCAGGCCATCCTAGTGATGAGTCCCTGGTGGCCAATGTAAGAAACTTCCAGACTTGACCTTTTTCCTCACCCTGCTGTCCTTCTCCTGCCCTCAGAGATACGGGGCTGAACATTTTCCTCTGTTGCAGCGCGATCCATCTATGGCAGGTGATCTTTCTCTTCCAGTCACACAGTTTAGCCACACACCTGCTCAGTCCCTCCCAGAGTACCATCTCCCTCCTCGGTCCCCCCAGGAAGACCCTCAGACTTCCCTTTCTTCTGATTCACAGATTTGGTTTGCTCGTGCAAGCAATAATTCCAAAAGGAGCGGGGAGCATATTTGTTGACGAGACCATGTGAGTAAGGAGACTTGTCCCACTTAGCCACTAGATTCTGTGGGACTCTGGGGACCTCAGAGCACATTGGACGTAAGTTTTTAAACCTCATTCTGAAGTGTCTAGCCCCAAAGAGTGTCCCCAAAAGCAAAAGAATAGGATCTTTGCTGCTGAAGAGGCTGGATGCCTTCAGGTATGGCTGGAGCCAGCAGCCTGTGTTGGTTTGTCTCCAGCTTCAGCTGTTCTTTCTCTATTGATCCATTGTCACACAGCCTTGTCCTGTGTGGTCAGGCGATGGTTCTGGAAGTTCTGGGGATCACAGCCTTCCAGGTTCCCACGGAGTGAAAACATCCCAGCATTCTCAGCAAAAAGCCCTAATGTTACTCTAATTGGATTAGCCTGGGACAAAGGACGGTGCCGTAAGAAAGTCAGGATTGGAACTGTGGCATGGGTCAAGTGGTAATGGGTTCAAACCCTAGTACAACCCCCACCCCCCAAAAAAAACAGAGATGAAAAAAAAGAAAATTAGAGGTTGGAGTTGGTGGAGTTGCTCAAGTGGTAGAGCACCTGCCTAGCAAGCACACGGCCCTGAGTTCAAACCCCAGTACTGCCAAAAAAAAAAAGAAAAAGGAAAACCAGGGGTTATTGCTGGTAGGAGGGGGGGTGGCTGGTGAGAGGCACGCATTCCACACTTACCCTTTGCCACACCCATTATTACATTGAGTCTCATGACACCCCTGTCTCTAAGATACGAGGAACCTTGTTCTGTAGACAAGGAAAAGTCTCCGAGAGGTTAAGTGATTTGCTTCAGGTCACACAGCAAATTCCAAAACTACTTATAGAAGTGCAGCCTACTTTTGAGGAGCAGGGAGGGAGGCTGTTTACTGGTTAGAAGTTGGAGGAAGGCAAGCCCAAAGAGAAATC